GGGAGGATGGGTTCTCCATGGTATCCTGGCCAATATTCATACCTCAATCAACATTACAAATGTGGTTATCTTACTGATGCTCACGGGAGTTTTATATCAGTGTGCTGTGTCCCTGAGTGTTGGTTAGTTCAGTTGTCTGGACAGCAGGTTTGTAATGCAGAGTAATGCCAACAGCATAAATTCAATTCCTGCACTGGCTGAGCGTACCATGAAAGATTTTGCTTCTTAACCTCTCCTCTCAGCTGAGGTATAGTGACCTCCAGGTCAAACCACCACTAGTCATCTCTTTCTAATAAGAGAGAAGCCCTACGGTCTGATAAGACTATGGTGACTTTACCTTACCTTTCCTTATATTATGACAGTGATTGCCCTGCAAAATTAGCTCATTGGCTATACAAATGCAAGTCATTCTTTCTATTTAACTGAATAAAATATTCATTAGACCTGGACATTACAATTTCAACATGAAAGAACGCAAGCTGCTGGTCATGGGGGCTCAATCCACCATTTAAGAATTGAGAAAAACAGATATACATTTTAGCAAGATGCAATGATGGATTTCAGTTTGTATGGGATTCAAAAAGCATGTGCACAGTGGAGTATTTCTCCATGAGATTGCAAACATTCCTCTAGAAGATAATCAGCACCTAGCAGACTCCTTCATCTGTTTCTACAATCAAAAACCATGTAAATACTACTTCAATAGGAATCCACATCCAATCCTTCTAAAGCCACATCCTAGTTTTCACAAGGCCATTGTCAGTACCCTTCTCCATTGGTCACTGGGAAATGCAATCAAGTGATAAGTCCTTCACAAATGTTTCCTCTTTTGGCCTCAGTTCAATTCTTCACTAACAGAAGTTGGAAATTCAGACCACAGGTGCCAATTAGATATAAATGGATTGGCATCATAATTTAAAGGTTCCAAATCTAGCCCCAAACCCTGGAGATGGAGACAATTTAAATATTTCAATGAGGCTCACAGCCTCCGAACTAACAATGGCCAATGGCCAACAGTGGTTTTGAGGTGCAGGGGAACATAATAGATGAATGGGGAGCAAGGACAGAGTTGAAAGGAAGATAACTGCACCAGCACTGTTGTGGGTCAGGAGGAGCAAGAGTACTATCTGCCAGAGCGTCAACCTTTCACGATCATGTACATGGATCCCAAGATCAGACATGCGGCCATCTTCAGAGTTCTCCTAGCTTTATTAAAAGCCAGACTTGCCATTAGCATTGCCTTCTGGGCAGGAAATCTGTGTAGGAGACAAGTTGTGCACTGGGGTTAAATCTTAACAGCATAGAGCGAAAGTATTCAATACCCTGTCTCCCTAAAAATGCAACTCTCCTCCAAATGAATATCGGGATCAAACTCATGTCCTACCATTGCCCTGCCGTGCCCCAATTAACTGCAGCTATATCAATGGCAAATGTTCAGCTCACAATTACTGAATCTTCATTAAAATAGAAATGATCAATGCTTTCAAAACTTGTAAAAATGGATTTTATTGGCCCTTTTATTGCTTAATTGAAGTCGTCCTTTAAATCTCAGCTGTACTTTATGTATTCATTTTCAACTCATGACAAATCTTTATTGAACAGTTTTATAGGGAAAATGTCATGAGTTTAACAACTAAATGAAAGCCGTGTCACAAATTCATAAATTAGAAAGGAAGTTTGTTTGAAATGATATTTTCATAAGTGGATTGTAACATGTGTATTTAGGATTCTGAGCTTCAGAACATTGAATTTTAGTAATGCACTAATTAACTACGTGCATATAAACTGCTTGTGGCTGGATTAAAGGTCCACTTTGGGGCATGATCCTTTAGGTTTAACAACTGAATTGGATTTTCATTCAGCTAGTCAAGCAACAACTCTTAGGTTTGACTCAAATAGATACTGACTCAGTGTCAAAGGCAGTGAAATAATCAGCAGACTTAACAAAACCTGCAATGCATCCTCCTTATCAGTGATACAGAATAGTAAAAATTGTAGAGAAGGAACCAACGTTGATGTCAGAAAACAAGATTATAATAATGTTATGAACCTTGGATATTGTTGCATAGTGAAGATTCAGTGCTCATAATAAACAGGTTTGTAGTTCCTGTGCGTGATTACCTACATATAGGACTATATCGGCAATAAGGATGACAGCTGCAGAGGGGGCGAGAGCCTCATGTAACCTCTTTCGAGGAAGATCTGCACATTAAGTGAATATTAGGCACTGACTTGTCAGTCGACCAGGGAGACAGTGGCTGATGCTGGAAAACCACCAACCGTGACCACAGATGGCTGAGACACCCAGGCCACTGGCAAGTAATGGCGGAAGAGGAATTACAGGATGGGGAATAGGAGAAGTTGACTGGCAGCGGTGATACTTTAAATGAAGGACACTCCCTGGGTGCCAGCAAGCAGTTGGCTGCTCCAACTGTCACAGTGAATGCCAGGAACAAAGCATGAGGCCCTTAGCTGTGCATTAATTGTCCACTGAAGGATTTAAGTTGGTGATGAGACAGGAAGGCAGTACCACCTAAAACCTAACGGAGGCAAAGGCAGCTCACCGGCTGCACTCCTGCCCAATTAAATACCTCCTGCAATCAGGAGATGGCATTAAAATCTGCACATAATAGTTAAGATAGGGAGTAGATTTTGTCCTTGTGCATTGGACTAAAAATGGGCAATATTGATTCCCTGTTTACATCTTTCAAATCTTTGATTTCTACTGAAGTCAAAATCTATGCTATTTAGTTCCTAAGCTCAGGCAAGCCATTAGCTTGATTTGCAAGACATGATTCTTCATAGGAATTATTTCAGATGATGTTTGTTTCAAACCTTTGATGGGGATGTATCAGTTCAAAAGTTATAAGTGCAAGTTATGTTGGAAGAACACATTCAGGAAAGTTTCCACAACAAGAAGCTTTTCTTAGAATCATAGAATCCCTACAGTGTGGAATGAGGTCATTTGGCCCATTGAGTCTGCTCCAACCCTCCGAATAGCATCCCACCCTGACCAAGTCCCCTACTATATCCCTGTAACCCCGCATTTACCATGGTTAACTCCCCTTAGCCTACACTTCCCTGGACACGACAGAAATTTTAGCATCGTCAATCCACCTTACCTGCACATCTTTGGACTGTGGAAGGAAACCAGAGCACTGAGCAGGAACCCAGACAGAGGGAGAATGTCCAAACACCACATGGATAGTCACCCAAGACTGGAATTGAACACAGGTTCCTGGTGCTGTGATGCAAACACATTGACTTTAGGATTTACAGAGGTGAGAAAAATAGCAATGGGTAATAACGCTTCCAGGAATCTGGTTGGAATTTGAAGTATATTAGTAAGACTTTTAGCATCTGATTTAACTTCCTTTGTCGGGTTTATGTGACTGGTCAGTTTTCCCAGACTTCAGGAGATTTTGCAACTGAACAAAGGTAAAGGCAACTTCTAGAGGAAGGCAAATATCATCACGACACTGCTTCTGGGCTAGGAAGAGCAGGCCTGCACTCTGCAGCACTTCCCACATTCCCTGAATCAGACACCCCTCATGCAAATGAATGTCCCTGGCGTCATAGACCTGATGTCATTAGGGAAATTTGCTACACTTGGCTTGGGGATTAGACCACCCCACTATGGGATTCAGGATCTGACACCCATCCACTCTGGGATTACAACCCCCACTCTTACCCTCCCACATCCCACAAATGAATTTTTAAAAAATCATTATGAATTGGTAAATCCCAGTTTTAGTTGGTTCTGCAATTTGCTGTAGAATCTTCCCCACACAATTACTGAAAACCGGGCCTGGTGATCAGGTTAATTTCAGAGAAGGAATTCTGAAAAGACAAATGCTGTGGAGTTAAAACTCACACTTTTGGAATTCCCACCTGAAAGTTTGTCCACCCCATGCCCACCTAAGCAATTCACCCATGTTAACAGCCAGGCTTTTCTTTTTTCTTTTTTACCTATATCCAGTAGTGGTCTAAGCCAGACATTTACCATCCTAATTTTAACTGCCTCCTGCTGCCAAAAGGGGTGTTTAAAGTAACTGGAGTCACATAACTACTCCAATACCTTCTTGATGAACACAATATTAACTTGTTCTTTGTAGAGGGTATTCAGGGCACCCACAGGTAGGAAACTAAATCGCCCTTGTGTCAGGCTACACGAGTCCTGGCTGTGACCTTACTTTCCCTACCCTCTTGATCATTCTCATAGGCTTCTCATCTCTCTGGATCCCTCATTTCTGCTGATCCTTACCTCCCATTCTGCTGGACTATGGACTCCGGCACCAAGTTTTCACTCCTGCCCATCAGCAGGCGAGTCAATCTGGCCAAATTTTGGGTAGAAACGTATAAGTTTTCTTTTAAAAGTCAGCATTTGTGCCCTGGCTTTGCCACCCACTTATAGGTCCTTACACACCATTTCCTCTGACCTTCCCAACCAATGAAATTTGAGGACCTCATAGCTGTCAGTTAGAGATAAGCCTGACCTGTTCAGAAAGTAGCTAAATTTTTCAATGATTACGCCAGTCAGAATCCTGAGTAATAGAAACATTGTAGAACATTAATCTGCTCAGGCAAATGCAGCTAGTTAAAATTATTTCTCTAACGAGAGTTTTATTTTGACACTATGGTGAAGATTCAAGGCGAGAACAACACCAAGGCCAAAAAAAAGTATAAATAAGGTAACGTATATACAGAAAGTTAAGAGTTTAAAGCCTAGAGATTAAAGGAGGAAAGAGAGGATCTGCACGTTTTTTAAGAGTTGGACCGAAGGGTCTGTTTCCATGATGTATGATTCAATGACTCTAGATGCTGATTTGGAGTGGGACAGTATGCAACATGTCTTAATTACAATCCTGAGTAGCTGTAAGAAGTAGAAAATGAGCAGGGTGGCAAACTGATTATAGGTAAGGAAAACTGCAACTGGTTTAATGATCTTCATTTTGGTGCAGATGCAGAAACAGAACCACAAGCAATATTGTTTACTGCAGTTAGCCATTAGATCAGTTACTTTATTGCACTGGAAAAGCAAATAAAGCCATATGGTATCATTTTCTTCCATTCTGGAAAAAAAAAGCTACTGACAAAACTACCACAATAAAGGAGGAAACAAGCAGAACAATGGAAAACATCAATTAATATATCTTGTAGAGTCAGTGCTTCTTGACAAGAAGATTTATCCTTGGCCACAAAGTACACCCTTGGGCTCATTCACAGCGGATTTCTCAGCAATATCCTTGAAAGGTGAAGTTTTAGGAAGGATGTAACCATTCTATACAAACCATATGTGCTTAATGGTAGCCTAATGTCAACAGAAGCAACACACAAAAGCAAACAAATGTACATCAAAACGGTTTAGCACACAGCCATAAACATACTTCAGTTGTTGAAATGGGAACATTAACTTACTTAAATCCATTTTAAAAATTAGAGGCAAAAGCAGTAAAGTTGTACACACAAAATTTTACTTTTGGATATAAATGTATGTTGATGAGGTTTCAATATTAGACAATCTGTTATGATATAATTAACATCAGTCTTTTGTGGGAGGAGAGACTTGGTATGAACAAAACCATATTTGTTCATAAAGAATACAGTTTCAATATTATTACAGTATTAAATCTTTTGTTTAACACTAAGTGATTGAATCCAGACAAGATCCCTTCCATTTTGGTTATATAAAATGCCAAATCTCCTTCCATCAAAATTGACAATTCTATTTCCAGTCCCTTTATGATATGATCAGAAAGAAATTCTAGTCCATTTATCTCACACATTTAAAGCCGAGGAACAATAGGTGGAATAGGATTTCCAACTCCAGTTGATCGTATTCTTGGAGGTGCATCACTTGGTCTCCTGCTCTATTTACCCTGACCCAGAATATTTCCATTGGTGATCCTAGATACCCATTCTTATGGCACCACATACTGCCTCCCTACGCCAACCTGAAAGCAAAAAGATACATTATTAATTAATTGAATAATTCTTGACTGCTCGTCAGCAGCTGTTTTCCCATCTTCAAAATTTTTTTTTTTTTTTACAGCAAATAAGCAGAAGTATTCCAAGGAAATAATTAACATTATGTGTTCTTATTCAATGTTCAGATTGTTATGGTTTCCAACAGTACCCTAGAGGTTTTGTTTCAAGTCCAGGAGCCTTCAGCTCAATCTTGGTAGGTTGGCAACCATGATGCAGCAGTTATTCAGCTCTGAGTTTCCAGGCTTAATCACAGTCTGGGTTGATAGTATAACAGTTCATTTTCCTCTCCAGTTGTAAAGAACGTGCACAAATTAATTTGCACAGACTCAGTCCAGTTCTTTGCACAAAACTATCTAGATCCTTGAGACATCCCAGAATGCTTATTCTGCATTTTATCTGGCAACACTTGATGCTGAGCTGGATAAGCCATGTAAAAAAGCATTCCATTTTCCAGTATTACTATTATGCAAAATCAACTGAGGTGTAAAGAGTAAGTGGAGATTTACACAGAAAATCACTGACCCCAGAAACTCCATTAAAGATTTATCGAAGCAATCACAAGGGACCAATAATTCAATCATAAAGGGTTGGTTTCCCTTAGAATGTAGGTCCTTGTAACTTCAAACACATGGTAGAATTCATCCATAGGAGGTTCTAATTTATAACTACATGCAGTTTAAAGTGGATATCTCACTTTATTAGTTCTTTTAAAATAAAATTGAGAATGTATCTTTAAGTTGAATATGTATTCAACTTCTTCGTTTTTCGGCTATTTTAGTGGATGTTCTGAATATTTATTTCAGATGCTAGTCCCCTTGGGGTTACTAACTTGGTGGACTTAGTGATTAACAAAATGAAAGGCTCAATCAACATTAAACAATACTATCATTAACCTAGTGATTTAGTTTCAATGGTATGAATGCTACCTTTGGCCCTTAAACTATAGCAATATTGAATGTAGAAACTCCCTGATTGTTTTTGACAGTTTAAACTGTAAAATCAGCAGGTTGCCAAAGCTGACTCTATTTAGGTTGGCTGCTTTCTTTAATTTTAGAAAAAGGTCTTAAGAAAAGTTTATCTTTTCAAAACTGTAAACTAGTTAATTTGTAGTATGGACATGATTGCAGTCATCAATGTGAAATTTAATCAAGAGTTGTTGTCCAAGTTTTACTTCCTTCATAAAGCTATTTGTTCAACATTGCAGAGATGGTTATTCTTAAATTAAACAACCTGACAGACATTGCTTAGACCTGTTATTCTAAACAGAGCCTTCACGTTCTCAATAGCTATTAAAAAGAAACAGAGGTTAAACCCACTGAATTCAAATTCATGCTGCTTAATCTTATGGGCACAGTACAGGATGTAAAACTGGGCACAGCTTGTGCCTGCTGACTGGAAAACAAGCCAATACACAAATAAATGTACATAACTCGTATTAAACTCGCAGTGAAAGTTTAGCCCAATGCATATTTCCTGAGCGAGGTAAAGTTACCAATTATTCTGATTTACTGCAAAAAGTTGTGGGGTTTTGCCTGACTGCAGTGAGGTCAATGCTTAGATTTAATTCAGAATGAGGTTCTGCCTGACTTGGGTCAGAGACAGACAGACAGGCTGTTTAGATTAATTGTGAAACATGTTTTACTTGACTGGATAAGGGGCAGGGTATGTTTAATGTATTTACATTTAGAGGATCCTGTACTCATTTTTTAAATGAATTAACCTGACAGATACTGCAGGGCAGGCTGGCAAAGTGCAAATTTAGAACATAAAAATATGGACTCTGGCTTGACTTCAATTTGATTGAGTGTGAACCACAGTTAAGTTCTACATGTCTTATATTTATTTATTTTTGGAGGAGTGGTTAACTACAGTAAAAGTATAATACATTTCATTGTATACCTTTTACACCTACGCAACTTACACATTACACACAGACTGAAAAAAATAAGCATATGGAAAGAACCACCCTCAGTATGAGTAACAGCAGTAAGACTGATAATAATCATAATGAATTTACAGACAGCAGTGCGACTTTACTTTGAGTTTGATTTATTGTTGTCACATGTACTGATTTACAGTGAAAAGTGTTGTTTTGCATGCTATACAGGCAGATCGTGCCATACAAAATGCATCAGGGTAGCAGAACAGTGTTACACCCACAGAGAAGATACAGAGATAGAGAGAGAGAGAGATCAACATTAACATTTGAGAGGTCCGTTCAAAAGTCTAATAACAGTGGGGAAGAAGCTGTCTTGCATCTGTTTGCATGTGTATGCAAACTTTTATATCTTCTGTCCGTAGGAAAAGGGTGGAAGAGAGTGTAACCAGGGTGGGAGGGGTCTTTGATTATGTTGGTTGCTTTCCCGAGGCAGCAGGAAGTATAGATGGAGTCAATGGATAGAAGGCTGTTTTGAGTGATGGACTGGGCTGCATTCATAACCCCCTGTAGTTTCTTGCAGTCTTGGGAAAGGGAGTTGCCACACCACACTGTGATGCACCCAGATAGGATGCTTTCTATGGTACATCCATAAAAATTGGTAAGACTCTTTGTGGACATGTTGAATTTCCTTAGCTCCTGAGGAAGTACAGACATTGTTGTGCTTTCTTGTCCATCACATTGACGTGTGTGGACCAGGTCAGATTGTTGGTGATCATCACTCCCAGGACTTTGATGGTCTCGACCATCTCGACCATCTCAACCTCAGCACCATTGATGCAGACAGAGGGTGTGCCCTCCACTCCCATTCATAGTTCTGTTTCCACGCTGTACATCTCTGTGACCCTAAGTCAATGACCAGTTCCTTCGTTTTGCTGATGTTGATGGAGAGATTGTTGTCTTTGCACTATGCTGCCAAGCACTCAATCTCTTTTCTGTACTCTGTTTCATTGTTGTTTGAGATCCAACCTACAACAGTGGTGTCATCAGCAAACTTGTAAATGGAGTTGGGCAGAATGTGGCCGCATGCGCGAGTGAATAAGCAGTATAATTGGGGGCTGAGTACTCAGCCTTGTGGGGCACTCGTGTTGAGAATTATCATGGAGAAGGTGTTGTTGCCTATTGTTAATAATTGTGATCTATGGGTCAGAAAGTCGAGAACCCAGTTACGGGGGGAGCCGAGACCTCAGAGTTTGGAAATGAGTTTGTTTGGAATTATGGTCTTGAAGGTGGAGCTGTAGTCCCTAAGTAGGAGCCTGTCAGCTTTCCTGCTCCTCTGATGCTGCTTGGCCTGCTGTGTTCATCCAGCTCTACTCCTTGATATCTCTGCCTGACATAGGTATCCTTGTTATCCAAATATTCCAGGGATGAGTGTAGGGCCAGGGGAGATAGCGCCTCCCCTGGATCTGTTGTGACAGTAGGCGAATTACAAAAGATCAAGACAATTTGGTAGGCTGGAGTCGATGTGAGCCACGACTAACCTCTCAAAACTCTCCGTAAATCATGGAGGTCAGATCAACTGAGCAGTAGTCATTGAGACAGGCTGTATGCTTTTTCATTGGCACTGGAATGATAGTGGTCTTCTTGAAGCAGGTGGGGGCTTCAGATCAGATCATAGCGAGGAAAGGTTAAAGATGTCAGCGAATACTATCGCCAACTGGTCTGCACAGTTGGATCTGAGTGCACAGCTGGGTATCCCAACCAGGCCAATCACTTTCAGTGAGTTCATTCTCAAGAAGGCCAATCTAACGTCTGAGGCAATGACTATGGGTAGAGGTACACCAGAGGCTGTTGGAACTGGTGACATCATTCTGCTAACCTTCTGTTCAATGCAAGCGTAGAATGTTATGTTATGTAAGCCTTGCACAAATGATGGGTGTCCATGTGGTTAATCTGGATCTCAAGCTGCACTTAGTATTTTCTCTTGGTGTCTCTGATGGCCTTGTAAAGATCATACCTGAATTTCCTGTATAGGTCAGGGTTGCCTGACTTGAAAGCCTCAGAGCTGGACTTCAGCAGGGAGTGGATTTCCTGGTTCACTCCTGATTTCTGGTTGGGGATCATTTGGATTACTTCTTTAGCACGCAGTCTTCTACACACTTACTAATGAAGTCTGTAACAGTAATGGCATACTCATCTAGGTTGGCCGCTGAGTTCTTGAATATGAATCAGTCTACCGACTAAGCAATCCCATAGAAGCCCTTCTGTTGCCTCAGACCAACACTGCATTACTTTCTGTACTGGGTCCTCAAGCTTCAATTTCTGCTTGTAAGCCAGGAGGAGGAGCACAGTTCTGTGGTCTGACGGTGGGATGAAGGGGTAGGCATCTATGAGGGTTGTGCACCAATGGTCAAGGATGTTTGGACCTCTGGTGGGACAGGAGATGTGTTGATGGTATTTTGGTAGCACATTCTTGAGGTTAGCATGGTTGAAGTCACCAGCTACAATGAGCAAGGCCTCGGGGTATTCTGTCTCAAGACTGTTTGTGGCATTGTATACTTCATCTAGTGCATTCTTCACTTCCACCTGTCAGGACAGCTGAAGTAAGTTCCCGTGGCAGGTAGTAAGGTAGCACTTCACTGTTAGACGTTCTAGGTCAGGAGAGCAGTAACTCACCGTGGTCACCATGTGTGAGCACCAGGAGGTGTTGATAGGAGGCAGACCCCACCACCCCTTGCCTTACCTGAGGATGCTGAGTAATCAATTCGATGAACTATGAAACCCTATGGCTGTGAGACACAGTAAGGTGTAGCAGGAGTGAGCCATGTTTTCAAGAAACAGAGCAGACAGCAGTCTCTCAATTCCCTTCACATGCGGGAAGTTTATCTTTATTAAAACAAAGACTGCATTAAATCCATCAGTCTTCCTATATACAACCAAAAGTTAAATAGGTCAATAATTAAGTTAAGATTAACACAAAGCAAAATATTTTACTAATTTAAAAGAAAAAAAACAATTTTTTGTTTAATTGTTGTAAGATGCAACTCCAGCATGAGATTTTACTTGCTTCACCATTTAGAATCGGAATTAGAATAATAAACTAGCCATTTGCAATTGACTTAATTAGAAAATAACTAGGAGCTGCCTTTGGATGCCTGCCCTCCCATGATTGAGTTGAATATAGTTTTCACGTATATAGATACATACAGACATTACATGTATGTCAATTTAAGTCAATATACATATACTCTAAATCTCTGCCTTGCTCTCCACATAATCTATTAAAGCAACAGGACCTGGATTTATCCAAGAAACACAGTGAGGCTAATGATACTTTCCATTATTTATGTCTATATTAGATGACAATTTCTGATAGACATAGTTACATAGAAAAGTGGTAAAACTAATGGTTGCTTTCCAGGATGCAGTCTTCCATTAATTTTGCAAAATACTAGCTAGCACCCTTACTCAATTTTCAAACATTGCATTTGGCATGACAAATTCTATACTTAGACCCACTTTGTCATAAAAAAGACAAATCTTGTCCACTCCAGGACAAATAGTTTTCAATAGCATGATAAATCTTAATTACTGTTAAGCAGTCTCATTAGCATTGAAAAGGAACTTGTAAGTGTGAAGTCTCACTTGCTCGGACCTTAATTGTTGATTTCTTTTCTTTCTCTCTCTTTCATCTCTATTTTACCATCTAATCTGTTCCTCCCTCCCCTTATTTTACATTCTTTACCTGATGTGACATTTTTCTAATTTAAATTAAAATAAAATAAAAAACAGGAAATGACTGGACATACTCAGCAGGGCATGCAGCGTCTCTCTAGAGAGACGAAGAGTTTATTCTCTAGGAATGATGTGAACTTTCAAAAAAAAGGGGAACTATTAGAAACGTTTTAAGCAGGTTAAATAGTGGTGGGTGGAAGAGGATCAAAAGGAAGGGAGATTAAATGACAAAAGAGTTGATAGTGCAGGGCCAAAAGGAGTGATAATGACATAAGCAAAGAAACAAAACAATCTGTTGAGCGGATGTGTGAATTATAGGATGCTGAACTGCTGCTGTTCTAAATCCAAAAAAAAGGTAGATCAAAATAAATAAAGGATAGGAAACAAATTGTGGGTACAGATTATGATCCAAAATTGTTGAACACAACATTGAGTCGAAAAATGCTGAAAGTGCTGAATTGCAAGTTCATATGTTTTACCTTGAGCTCTGTTGAGCTTCACTGGAACACTACAGCAAGTTAAGTATGGAGAGGTCAACCTGAGAATAAGGTGGAGAAGTCAAATGGCAGGTACAGAGAATCTTGGTCTTGCTTGTGGTCTGAATGGTGGCATTCCATAATGTGGTCTTCCATGTTGATCTCCTTAATGTAGATAACAACACAATGGAAGCAGCACGTACTGTATAATAAACTGAAAAGAAGTACAAATAAATTACTACTTCACGTAGAAGGAGTGTTTGAGGCCTTGGCTAGTGAAGAGAGTGGAGGTAAAAGAGCAGAAATTATATCTCCTGTGCTTATATGGAATGGTTCTGTGGGAAGGAGCTTGGATGCTGGAGGTAATTGGGAAGTAGACTACGGTAATTAGACTAAATGGTTTCCTCAGAATGCTGACACAGGCAGACAAGGGAAAATTAGTTCAGTTGTGGCGCATGCCAATGTTGGCAAAAATGACAGAGGATGGTCCATTGAATACAGAAGCCAGTCAGGTGGAAGATGATGACATGGGAACCCTATGTTTGGAGGAAAGTAAAGGCATGAAAGAAGAAGTGCCAGAAATGAAACAAACATGATCGAGGACCTAGTCAACCATAGTTTGGGAAAACTTCAATTAAGGAAAGATGAAGACATATTCAAAGTACCATTGTGAATTTTGCATCACGAAAACAAATGCCTCAGAGAAGAAGAAATTGAGGGGTGCAATGTAGTCCCTAAAGGAGGTTGAGTGCGAACATGTATAGTCAAGGCAGCTGGGGGTATCAGTGTGATTATAAAGAGTATTTGTTAACATATCTCCAGAAATGGAGACAGAGAAGTCAATGAAGTGTATGGAAGAATTAGAAGTGGGTCATGTGAAGGTAGGGAAGGATAGAAATTGGAAGCAAAGCTAATAAGGTTTTCCAATTCAGGGTAAGAGCAGGAAACAGTATTGATACAATCATGAAGGTACCAAATAAAGACTGACACTTCCTGGTTCAAACTCTGTGATGCTCTTTAATAGTATTTCAATCTGATTGGTTTGTGAGATATGTAGTTAACTGCTTTATTCATAACAAATTCAGGAACTCAGCACATCTTCAAAAACACTCCAGAGTACTTCAAGAAACCTTGTACAAGTTCTTGAAAATCACAATGCCTCCGAGCTGATTTCTAGTTCTGTAGATGACTAATGCTAACTGTTCCTGCAGCTGAGCACATATTCTTTGGTGAATGGCAATTTAATTTGTTGAATGGACCAAATTTGGAAATATAACATTCCCATCAGGCAATAAAGTTGTGTGACAGGATGATAGCAACAGTTTGGCCTATGCATGGGCTCCCTCAACCTGGGTGCCTTATGGTCTGCTCATTTCCCTTATCCCACATACAGCTTCAAATTTCGATCTATTACTCTCCCTTTCCAGATCCCTAAGTACTGAGAGTTTTGTTGACACCAAGAGTGCCTTCTCTTGCTGAAAAGTTAGGGGAAACTTTCATCTAGATTTTTCTAACAAAGGTAATTGTAGATACAACCTCGGCTCAGGTTGACAAATGAGACAGTACTGCAGTGTTACTGCTCTGGAGTATATGGAGAATAAGATAAGATACTCAGGTTCTGAACAGTGTGCGATCCTTTAAACTTATGAAAGGCTGACATAAAGGGAAAGGTTGTACATGACATGGTACAATCACTTGTGTTTTGGAGGCTGCATGTCTTCTGGCTGACTGTGAACAGTACTACAGGAGATTTGCTAATTTGTTTTTAATCCACTCAGAAGTGCTCACGTTGAAAGAAATCATACTAAAGTGTCAGAGGCCAAGACAGATTATTGAAAATTGATTTGAGATAGATCAGAATGTTTGCCAGCATTAATGTTCCATCGATGTATTGTCACCCACCGATGTCAGAGGGGGATCTCATAAAAACATATAAAATCCTGATGGGGCTGGACAGGCTAGATGTGGGAAGAATGTTTCCAGTGTTGGGGAAGTCCAGAACAAGGGGTCACAGTCCAAGAGTAAGGGGTAAGCCATTCAGCACTGAGATGAAGAAGAATTTCTTCAGTCAGAGAGTGTGAACCTGTGAAATTCTCTTCCACAGGAAGCTGTTAGGGCCAGTTCATTAGATATATTCAGGAGGGAGCTGGATGCGGCCCTTGCGGTTAAAGGGATCAATGGGTATGGGGAGGGGGCAGGAATGGGATATTGAAACGGCATGATCGTATTGAATGGTGGTATAGGCTCAAAGGGCCGAATAACCTACTCCTGCACCTATTTTCTATGTTTATATGTTTCTAGGACCCATCACTGTCTCAAAGTGCTGAAGAGCAACTCGCCTCTGATTAGCTGTTAACTAGCTACAGATCAGAAAGTTTCTCCTTGACAAACTCTCCTGATTTTTTAACCAGAGACAGAGAATGAATAATCTAGGGAATGGTATAATTCCGCCCTATGTTGCTGTCCACCTCAGTGATTTCAATTTTCAAATTATGGATGCAGTATTTGGAGAGAGCATCTTCCCTCAATAGAAAAGACTGTTTGTAAGGGCATGGTTTAAATTAATTACGAATAGCATCATATTGAGCTCTGGGCGATTGAGATATAGTACTGCCATCAATCCTCCTTTCCAATTGTGTTAATCAACATTTGGACACATTATGACACACATCTGGAACAGCTCGGAATTGAATCCAGATCTTCTGGCCTAGAGTAGGGTCACTACCACTGTGCCACAAGAGCCCTCAGTTCTGCATTATTGATATTTTTCTAATCAACTTGTTCAGAGATATTATGTTGAGTCAAAGGGCCTATCTAATTATCACTGGTTGAGGAGTCTTAACAAAGAGTGGCACTTGTCTTACATAAGAGGAGATGGTTAATTTTGTGATTACAGTATGTTACATGACTAGTTAAGCATAGGTACAAAGACTATCAGAAGCCAGTGACAGCACATCTGTCTTCATCAGGGCCTCGTGCTAGACTGCCTGATTCTCTGCACAAAGACAATGTGACATTGTTAGATTGGGTGGACTCAATGGACTTCAGCATTATCCTTTAGAACCATTACCTTACATAACAAGTAGCAGTGACTTTAAAGTAGTGTTTGGAAATTTGGATATTTGTTTTCTTCCTGTAAGACGCATGTGTGTCATTTTGAGGTCAACAAAAGACAATAGCAGCACACCCCTCCAAACATGACAAGCCAAGGCTCAGAGTTCAGTGGTAAAGTAGAAGTATTTTGCTGTTTCTAGAAAGTTTGTAATTTGCTATAAATTTCTTCTTTGCTCTGAATACAGTTAGTAACCTGTTTAACATAAAAAGAAATAACTTAACCTTTCACAACATCAGGACATCCTATGAAGCTTAACAGCCAATTCAATACTTTTGAAGTGTTGCCATTTTTTTGCAGAAGTGTTGTAAAATGTGGCAGAATTGCACAGAGCTTATTGCAATGGGATAAATATCCAGATAAACTTTTTCGGTAATGTTAGTTCATGGAATAAACGTTGGCCAAAATACAAAGACAATTCACCTGTTCTTAACTAAATTTTTCATTTTATATTCAGCTGAAAAAACAGAAAGGAAGGTGGTTTAATATTTCATCTAAGAGACAACTTCCAGTAAGGCATCCTTCTCTCAATACTACACTTATGTTAAACATGTTGGTTTATACCCTTAATCTCAATCTGACAGACTGTATATATTTCAGTCTGCGGATGAAAAAAGAGATCATTGTATGGTGTCCTAGGGCCAAATATTTTCATGTTCATCAATGATGCCTTCTCCATCCTAAGGTCAGAAGTAGGACCTAAGGTCACTGAAGATTACAGCATCTCCTAACTCACAGAAGCCGGAATACTATCTTAAGGCACAAATCAAGTGTGGGATGGAAAATTCTCTAATTGCCAGGATGAGTGCAGTTCCAACACTGTACACTGAAGGAGCTTTATGCCATCCAGGAGAAAACAGCCTCCTTGATTGAAACCTCATCCACCACCTTAAACATTCAGTCCCTTGACCATCACTGCCATGTGCACCGTTTATAAGATGCAGTGAAGCAGCTTGCCAAGGCACTTTAAGATTATCTTCCAAACTTGTGATCTGTACTGCCTAGAAAAACAAGGGCACAGGATCAAAGATCACCAACTGCCAGTTCTCCTCTAAACTACTGACCATCTTGAGTTGGAATTATGTCACTGCTACTCATTGTTGTATCAAATTCCGAAACTCCTTCTCTAACAGCAGTGTGTGTGTACCTACACCAGACTGACTGCAGTGGTTCAAGAAGACAGCTTAGCACCATTTTAACCCAATCTCTGGACATTGGGGATCAGCCTCGTGGCTCTTCTCTGTATTATACCCAGTTTTTGAACAGATCCCTTATTTGCTGGCATAAAGATATGTAGTTCTATGGTTCTATGGTCCTAGTATGCATGGCGATCAATTAATTGATTATTGAATATATACAAGGCTGATTCACACCGGTTTATATCTACAAGAAAGTCGAGGGTTATAGGGATCAGGTAGCAAAGCAGAGATAAGATCAACCATGACTTTATTGAATGGCTTCCTCCTACTCTTGTTCATACGTTCTTGTGGATTAATTACTTAGACCTGGTTAATTTTGCCTGATATTGTACTTTAAATTTTAGTCGAGATTATATTGTGATTACAGGGTTTATGCTGTCCAGCGTAAATTTCAGGAGCAAGTTCTGCTTAGCAGGTTACCCCACTTTAAATTTATGACTATCATGAGGCTTTCATCCGTCTCCAGGAGGAAGTCCTGCCTCATAGATATGCCAGTCAATTGGATCACAGCAGCTGTGCTCCACTCTGCGATCGGTGGCCACTGCTGGAATTGCAAATGGCCGGGGGGAAGGGAATCATGGATGTCCTAGAACTGAGCTAGGTCTGAGGTCTTCCCAGAGTCGGTTTGGCAGGCCATGGCATGAGCAAGATGAAGGGGGGCAAGTTAAACAAGAAATGGGAGAAGGGTGGAGGCAGAAAGGTTAAAACTGTGAAAGGGGCATCCAACTGGCACAGGAAGCACGAAGAAAGCAAATCTCTTTCAGTCACCAATAGGGTTAAATCCACAGAAGTGCACTTTGGCACAGGGCTCTCTGATCACCCACCAAATCAGGGAGCTGACAGGATGATTTCAATTAGGCATTCGTTGCTCTCTTACAGGCTGCGGTTGAGTGAGCTGCTGGAAGTCTCTTCTGCCTCCCAAAAGATTGTGGTGGGGCAGATGGGCCACAATGCTGATGGCATGGCTTCCTAATTTACACTTCTAAATTCCTGTTTTCTGGTCCACAGGTAGCCAGTAAAATTCAGCATTTTAATGGAAATGCATCAGAAATACATTTTTAACATAATGTATCAAATATATAATCAAAACCTGTTTAAAGTGACAGTGCCAATGGGAAAGATATAGATTTAGAAATGCAAAGTTCATTGTCGATATTTAATTTCTTTAATTACTACATCCTGTTCAATTTTTACTCAAATATTATTCAAAGTTTATTGCAGCCGTCTATTTGCTAACGCCCTCAATTCTGGATTGAGGAACAGAACAGTTCACTGATGGATGATATAAGAAACAAGCATTAGAAAAGAGACATCACAGCTGTGGGATCACACTCAAAATTAATACTTCAAAGTGATGAATCCAATATAGATCTAAAAGTAATTTAAATTTAAATGAAGCTTTGTTTAGATAAGACACAATGAGGGTTACAAACTATGAAATGTTTAATGAAATATATTTAATCCATGAGCCACTAAATTTCTGTCTTCTAAATTCAATCCTTAGTCAGTGTCACTAAATTCAACCTTTCCTCTTAGAGTCCTAATTCTTTTCTCACCATGTATCTTCCTCATGTGTGCCTTTGCTTCCAGAATATTCTAAAATGTATTTTTTGCATTTGAATAAACTTAGTTAACTCTTAGGATAAATTAATTCCACTTGGACATGTGCGGGGTTTAGCTTTCTGACAAATTCTTTCACTTCAGAGTTTTACAGCTGAGAAGATTATACTTAGTCAAACAATGCTTTCAATACGTCTCACAGTTTCCTCACTCCTCATTGATAAATAAGAGGC